CAAAAGAAATGTGAAGCGCGGTGACTTCGTTGGCCAAAAACGTCAATGATTCTTTCCATATCATTTTCGAGAGCTCTATAAGTGTACGCTCGCTCCATACATAAAAGAGAAATGCTACTCAGGCGCTCTTGACCCATTGTAGAACGAAGGTACGTTTTTATCCTCCGTAATCCACTGAAAGATCTTTCAGCAGAACATGATGTTGCTGGGATTGTTGCCAAGATTGAACTTGCTTTGTAGAAGACTGGCAGAACTGTATGGAGCTCATTTTCGTAAAGGGTCTTCACCAACGTTGCTGCTTTCTTGATTTGGTGCGAGACAGGGTTATCAGACAAGAAGTTACGGAGAATCTCAACTCAGCTTCTAGGATTGCACTATCTAATGAATAGAACGAGGAGACCAAGGCAATGCTTTCTTCTGACGGTTTCTGACCGAAAACCACGTCTGCCAGAGCACACAAGATGTCTTGATCGTTGCTTTGAAAGCGCGTTTGCATCTCCAGAATAACTTTGTCCAACGTCGGGTAGTAGGTTGTAATCCTGTAATGGCTCTCTGGAGTTGGTTGTTGGTGCAGAGTTGTAGTGGATGACTCGCCGATTAGGGCCTGCAATCGACGCGACGGAACTCTGTTTCTTGGGGTGTAGCATCTTTGAATGAAAATCTGGTGCCCTGAATTTCTTTCTTAATGTTATTTGCCATAACATGTGCTCTTAGCCAAAGCATGTGGAATCCTTCTTCACTTCGGCAGCCTTCAAGAGCTTTGATAGTTGAGTCCCGCGTTTTTTTTTGCTGTGATAACATCCATGTTCTTGCTTTGTAGGTACTTGGAGAGACTGTCTGTATTTGACAGGACAACTCTTAGCAATAACAAACCAAACACAAAATTAAAATCGCAAATTGAGATTAGCAAGTTATTGCTGTCAGTATAGGTTGTGGGATCGTGATCATCACTACATAAGATAAGTGCTTGAATAATTCTTGTCATCTGTTCGACCACTGCTCTCACAGCCTCCGAACGGCACGACCACCTTGTAACACTTAAGGATTTAAGGGTTAGATTGATGTGATCTTCCTCAATCTCCAAGTCTTGAAAAATTCGATGACGTTTAGGACTTGCTTCAAGAAACGTATACAGTTTCTGTACTGTTCCAAGGGCATTGCGGGCTGACTCGACAGATTTCATCGTATCTTGAAGGGCAAGGTTTAACAGATGACCGTAACAATGGACGTAAACTACCAAAGGAGAACACTCTTTCATACGCGTCGCCAGTCCCTTGTGAACTCCACTCATATTAGCAGCGCCATCGAAGCATTCTCCAACAATATTTTCAAGCTTTAGCTCTAGGTTGACAATTGCTTTCTTCACAAGTTCAAAGAGAACCTCTCCTTCAGTTGATGCGGTTGTGGAAAATCCAACAAACGTTTCCAATGTTTGACCAGCACAGACGTACCTCAGACATAGAGACACTTGTTCTGACTTGCTGATATCAGGCGTCTCGTCTACTATAATACTAAATTGCTCACTGTTCCTGACGTCGCTCGCAATCCTCTGTCGAACCATGTCCGATGCAATTTCAATCAGCTCGTTCTGGATGCTGGGAGACGTCCACTGCGCATGTGCCTTAAGCTGGCTTTGAAGCATGCTCTTCAACCATGGTAAATCCTTACAGCGAAAGTGAAGAGATTCGATAAAATTGCCTCTATTAGTATCAGAAACTTCCCAATATGGCGTCTGCTTTCTTCATGTCCTCTCAATGGTGAGTTCTGTTGAACATTGTGCATGAGACATTCTATGATAACTCGCAGATAACGCCGGTTGCAGTCAACGTTTTCCTTGTGGGCTCTATTAAGTTGTTCGAGCACCGATGTACTTCGTGATTTATTGGCTTTAAACAATGCCCATTTTGTCATTGATGTGATGTGTTTATCAGAGTTACCGTGTTTACGAAGCCTTTCTGTTTTTTTTCCAATTGCTATACACAAAGGAATTGTCGTAACCAAACTTTCTGCAGGGAAAGCATATGCACTGGTCATTATTTGGTTCATAACTGAGCCAGGGATGATGTTTATACCATAGAGGATTGAACTTACGGGAAAATGTTTCATTTCCAAACCTTTTCGCTGGGTACTCATGTAAAATTGGCTGGTTTGGGCCATTGGCATCAGCTTCAGACGTTAACAACAAAGGCTCTGCGCATTGTGTACTTCCTTCAATTATACCAATTGAATCACCAGAGCATGCTGGCTCCGGTATTTCTTTATCAGGGGATATATTTTCCAGGTTCGGTGACTTTGTCGCCCCTAGTTCAACAATCATGTCTGGTTCAGTGTTGAAATAGCTCAATCCGGGTTGGTTTTCCTCAGTTGTTCCTATGTCTATGAACGTACTGTCGTCAGTAGCTTTACTGCTGCAGCCGGTCTCGGACAATGATGGTTTTTCCGCTGTTGCAGTGGTACTAAGCAGAAATCTATTTAACTGTGATTGCGAAGCATCTACCAAGGGAGTGAACCGCATTTTCTTTCCACTATGGACATTTTTCATGTGGGTTTTAGCATGGTCTACATTCATTTCTGCTTGGCATTCATCACACTTGACTCGATGCGAACGATAGGCCCGTTTACGAGGCCCAGATTTGCAGGACATGATTATTCTTATTATTCTTGGATATAAGTAGAAAAAGGAAACTGAAAAAAATAAATTTCATCGATTGAACCTTTCCCTTCAGTCAGCTGAATTAAAACGTATGAGAATTAATGAAAACATTTTCATACGTACAAAAATGTATGCACGAGTACCGTAAATCTGGCATATCCCATGTATTTTGCGCCTGCCACTTATCGCACAAACCAAACGTCAGTACAGGAAATTTTTAAGTATGCTTAATTAAAAAAAGCTGTTGCCTCACGCCCTCACCGTTAACGCTGTATGTGAAGCGCATGCCGCCTTATGCGCCATTACCTAGCATATCAGCGTATGTCAGCGTATGTATTACGAGTGATATTTTTCATACGCTGGCGTAACTGCATACGGTACTTTATCATCTTTCACACTATTTAGGCACTTTGATAAATTGATTTCCATTAGCTCATAGCGAAGCGCTTAATCGAAAAGGGGAAAGCGTTTAGCGTTTTGCCGACTTTAGGCTCTATACAGTTTAATGAGTTTATGTTTAAAATTAGGAAAATGTTCGGCTTTCATTAATGCTTATATATTGCGACATACGTTCTCCAATTTTCGTAACAGTACTGTCAATGCATACCTTAAACAACGCAAATGCCGGTGGTATAAATTATAAATAGCTTGATATACAGAATTACAAATTACAATGATACGCGTTCGGTCGCGTGCAATTATAACTTAGGTCAATATGTTTCACCATAAAACTTTTATGAATAAATAAATTATGTACAGTACAGTTGCTTGCTATAAAAGTTAGTAAAGTTACAAACTTACCAAAACGATAGCAGTGTTTCGTAACTACATGGTGAGTTGTTAAAATTAGCAGCTGAAATATATGATATCTTTTAAAATGACTCAGTTCGTGATGTGTTGCGATTTGGAAATCAGGAAATGTATGATGTTTGTTTCTCTGTTGCCGCGCCAATCAGTCGTGTAAGGCTGTTACCGTGCGGTCCGTGCCAATCAGTTGTGGCACATAGGGTAGCCAGTGGCACAGACGGAAAAGCATGTTTATTTAATTTATTTTCGTTTCCTTTATGCTTTGCGCAAGCTGCAAGCATATATATTCTATCATATTTGAGCATTCTTAAATATTTTTATGTAGTGGTATTTTTATGTAGTACTACAAATTGCCCGACTCTTAAATACAAATTGCCCAACTAATTAATATTTCTGACTAAACTGGGGGGGGGCTGCAGCCCCCCGCTTCGTACGTCAAAAAACCACCTTTTAACTTTTAATAGCTATTTCAAATATTGTGAAACCAACCATTCTCAACGAAATGTGGGCTATTTTGAAATTCTACTTTTCCCGTGACAGACGTCCACAGCTTTAAAAACCGTTTTCGCTGTTTAATTACTGGGATAAAAGTCGAAAAGTCACCACCGTCAATCTGATTTTCAAAAACGTAAAAAATAGTAGAGATAAGTACCTTTACTTCAATATGATAATGAAGGAATATCACTGAAGAAGCAGAATATGAAATGCTTGTATTTATATACATTCCTTCGTTTACAAAGTCAAAAAAAAACAGGTGAAAAATCGATAACTTAGTCCGGAGTTGAGCATTGGTTTAAGTGAAGAAAGGACATTTTGAGGCACAAAAAGGCAGAAAGGTACACAAGCTAAGCGTGTTTCAATAAAAGAAAATTATTTGGCGCGATATGCCAATATCCCATGATTCATTGGTGGCAAAAGGTTACGTAATTTACGCATTCCATTCCCAGTCTTTTCGCGAGTTTTGCAAGATTTTTTGTTTAAAGAACTAAAATTAGTTACGTAAAACAATGGGATATAAAACGTTTAAGGATTTTAAGGATTATAATTATTTGATGGTTATGCAGTATACGGGTCTATATGCGGTTTTCGGCTTCGGTCGTAATTTAATTACTACGGGGTTCTGGTTTTTGTTTTTTTGTGCGGTTTTTCGGATTCCAATAGCCCCCAACACCTCTCTCTTCACAGTCTGTTAACATGAATATACGTCACTGCAAATAGGCAACTAGCGCACCACGAAGCGTAGCAAATTATCTCTCACTAGTTTCTGGTTTCGCTTAAGCAGTTTTGAGAGATTTCGCTCCTGATCTTTCACGACTTGTTCATTTCGATAGAAATCCAGCAAGTAATTAAATAAAATGTGTGTTTCGAAATTTTGATGACATGAACTATGCAACCGCCTGATGTTCTTTCGGTTGTTTTGCGATTCTTGCGTACTGGTTACCACGCAGTTTGCCTGATCACAAAGGTTGATGTCATGATACGCGCATAAAGGTGATTTGTGAGGATTCGTGGTCGAATGGAATTTATCTCCAAGATATAGCGGTCAGTTGAACCAGTAGCAGGGTCGACATATGCACTATCTTCGGCCTCGATGTATACAGTACCGTCCATTTTGTATTCAGGCGGCACGATTGCTGGAATGTTGTGGTTCTGTAACATAAAGTACGCCCAGGTAACTATTAGGCCTAATATATTTCGAAAAATAACCGGCTATATATCGCGAACTGCTCTCCAGCAGTAGTGAAGTGCGTCTCCAAAATTAAAGAGGCGGGATTATATTTATAATCTGCATAATGAATTGTTAAAAATCGAATCAAATTTATTCCTATTATCAGATCATCTTGCTCTTGCGTTCATATTTTATATTTGACTATTCTCGCTTATATCTTTACTAAATGTAGCTATAATGTTGCCAGGTTGTTGCTTATAAACATGCATGCATTCATGGCTTTCTTTAGATGGTATTTTCTGTAAGATTTTGAATTTTCTTTTTAATTCTTTATAGCCGAGGCCTAAAGGTAATTATATTTAGTGGAAATTTCACTGACTATAATTTCCGGGCATACGAACGAAAGCTCCGCAATACCAAATTTTCGTGGTTTTTGCACAAACAAGTTATATAATATTGATTGCATCAAGCAAACATTCAAAGAACTAAATGTACTTAGCCGTTTTCCAAAGTCATGTTTGACAGTCGAGCGAATCCCTTGTTTAGGGGGACAATAAATGTGACGAAGTTGATATTTCATTTTCCAGTCATGTAAAAAGTTAATATTTTAATTATATATATGCCTTTATATTCTCATATATTCCAAAACAGCATTTTTGGTCCTGCAAATGCAAATGCCACCTATACATAATGTACATGAGATAATTATACGATGTTTGTCTTATTTCTAGATACCTGAATCGGATCCCTTTCAGTTGTTGGTGTTTCAAAACAACCACCTATGTTTCCTCATAAGTCTGTGCAGATATCTGGAAATCTACATTCTATATGCCGCGTGCTAACCCACATGGTGTGTCGTTGATAAAGAGTATCGGGTGGTATTTCATTGACAAATACAAGTCTACAGCATCTCGTACTGACTCAGTCAAGCAAAGAAACATTGATGCGACAGTACACTGCAACAGAGCATAAAATTTATTTTGGTATATTGTATAAAACGATAAAAATTTATTTTAGTATATTGTATAAAACGATAAAAATTTATTTTATTTGTACACACATGCATGCATCGTTTGTATAGTACACGTGAATGTTTTTTCGCTATTTCACGCTTTTACTTTTTTACGCAAGGCTACTTTGCACTGGACAGCTACAGAATCTGATAAATTTCCCTTTAAATTTCAAAAATATTTTTGGCCAGTGGCCAGTAATCTCGTGTTCCACTATAGCTTGGAGATATCGAAACGTATAATCTCGGTATTCGCAAATACGCCACACTAAATTTATATATACGTTTATGTTAATAAAATTGATATTAATGTTGCATTTACCTTTGATTTTCTCTGAGTGGAAATGGAACATTGTTCGCATATATCTTTTATCGCTTCAAAAGACATTTCTTTAAGATTCTCTATATCCAGTTGTTTTTCCTTTATGAGTTGGTGTAATTTGCTGGATCACCTTAACAAAATTATTAGTAAAAAAATTATAAATGCGCCACAACACAATTACAATATGTCAAGTTAATCCTAGTAGCTAGTCGAAGATAATATACATCTTGTCACATCGGAAGAAAAGGTAATTTATATACCTCTGGCTCTATACTTAAAACCCCGCCTTCCTACAGAACCATGAGTTGGACTGGTCAATCTGATCTACATATAATATTATTACATAATTATAATGAAACGAACCGTCATACTCCAAAGATTTTAAAATGGCACTCTGTTTCTCGTGTTCGGAGTTCATAGCGCTCTCATTTCGCATGGCATCAGGCATTATTGGCGGCAATTCTTCAATCTTGATCTTGAATGCATTTCCATTTCTGGTGTAAACCGCCTTTTCCTCTAACGAAATCATGCTGCCATGTTGCTCGTTTTCTTTGGTATATGTTATCTATAAATTTGAGAAGTTTATATGTCTATTTGAATGCACTTAAATTTGAATGCGGTTTTATAGAATATAATATCTTTATGGAATATGGCAATTTTTAAAATGTTATACGGACAAAACATTCGCTATAACTGCAATTGTAACGTTATTGTTACACCATTACAGTGTTTTCTATAATCATAATCAAACCGAAGTTAAAACTCATAAAATTACCAGTTCATAAACTATATAGGGAGTCAAACCTTAAACTTTTTCTGCTTACCAATTTCTGTGGGGATTGATTGATGCATGGCTCTGCACTTGTTATTTCTTTGCAAAACTTCACTTTAATTTCGATCTCTTTTAATGGATTCATTTCTGTTAACATGCAGGTGTGATTTTCCTCTTTGACCTGGATGAAACATTGGCTCGGACAAAAAAGACGAACAGAGTTTGCATATCTCTTCTACTGGAACAAACTGATGTGGCCATCCTCAATCCAGACCCATAACACTACCCGCATCCTTCTCGGTGGAAATTAATATGTTGGACTTCATGTCGGTACCATATGGAAGTGACCGTGTAAATGCCATCTAAAAACGCCAAGGATTATAAATATCGATGTTTACATCCATATTTACAATTTTTTTATACAACTCTCTTCATGGTCATATTCGTAAAAACAGAGAGGGGCTAAAAAGGCTCCAAGAGCTGTTTTGGCTTTTAAAATGTCTCTAGTGTGGTGCCAATAATGCTTCTAAGAGCTAATTTATCCTGATGCCAGAACGTGAATGACCAGAACGTGAATGAACCGTAGAAGCCAAAATGGCTCCAACGGGCTCTTTTGGCTCTTTTAAAAACTGGGGCTGTTACTGGGGCCAATAATGCTTCTCATTTATTAATAGGCCTAAAATGGCTATTTTCCTCTGTTGTACAATAGTCATAATTGCTCTATAAAAAGAGGGGAAAGGCCTGATCAGCTCTCCAAAATATAGGGCCCAAACAGAACTTTGAATTGGGCCAAAAATGATCCTGATTTAATAATGTCAATATAGCCCGTTTAAAAGGGGTCTTGGGAGCTAAAATGGTGCCTTTTAATTAATTTACTGTGGGAAATTAACATGGGACAATTATGAAAATGGGCGTGGTTGTCGTGAGCAATGGTCATGGTTCGCGCGTAATCTAAACATAATCTCTCTCCGAAATCATAACTTTTCAGTTATTTCTTCAGTCTGGAAATGTAGGTTTATCGTGACTATTTAAAAGTCCAGCTCGAATAAATCAAGTAAAATAATCAAGAATGTTATTAATTAACCCCGCTCTTCAATAATCGCCGCATCGTAAGTGCTAAAATTTAATAAACGTCGCAGTCTTTTTTGGAACAACAACTAATATAATAATTATTGATGATTTTTCAACTGCACGAAGCATTCACAAAAAAGTTATAATTTGAGGCTAGAAGAACACCCAAAAATATCCACATTATTCACACTAGCTGCCGTAGGAAACGAAATATCATACCTTCAAAGTAGATTCCCTTTGAATACTGCTAGCTTCCGTCGTGACGCGTTCCGGCAGTTCCGTGATCGTTTCCTCTAAGGTTATATCTGCTGGTTCATTGGTCACCGCCTTCGATATAGGTGAGGTCAAAGCTAGAGCACACAGCATTTGTGGATATGAATACATAATGCTTGCACTCATTCCTGCTTCGCCTCAGACATTATTCTACGGCAATTTTTACCACAACAGGTTATAGAGGGATGGTCAGCATTTCGCTTGACGTGGCAGAATCCCAACGGATTGCTCGCGCCGCTGTTGCATATACTGCAAATACCGTATCACTTAGTTCTACTTCTGGTGTGCAATCATATCTAAGCGATAAATCCTCAAGGTTTCCACGAATTGTGTCCCGCAAAGCATTGGAACATGGATACGATACTAGCTGTTCAGCGCTTATCATGTGTTGCGTTTTTGGTTGAGAAAGCTGATAAACAGCTTTGTCTATGTGCTCGCATCTAAACTGAGTACAGTCACTATTTAACACAACGGCCCTTCTCTGCTTGCAAGACTCCTGTAGGCATATCCATAATCCCTCTTTGCTACGAGAAACAAAACACCGATCGTTGCAATTTGTGGTCGATATTGATGCTACGTTTTCACACACAAAGGCAGCTGGTAAAATATTTAACTTTGCTTTTTTCTCCTTTGGCACGTACGAACCTTCTACTGCATAATTGCAATTTGGGCCTAATGCCGGCTTATAACGGTTGAAATAGTTAGTTTTACACTTCGGACAACTACCACATCCACGTTTTCCACTCATTTTTATATAGTTAATTCAATTAACGTTGAGCTCAATGCTCTATAGAAGCCCGACAAATATTTGCAAAAATTATTTGGGTTACATGTTCCATTGAACAGATAATAACGAAAAAAGAATGCCTATGTATTCATGTTTCTTTTTTGGGCTACAGTACTCTATTGAACTGATAATATCCAAAAATAAAAATGCCCACGTAATCATTTTTTTGGGGGGTTACATGCAGTGCTCCATTAGCAAATTTGTTAATCGGCCAAGGCTGAACGTAGTTGGTAAGGAAGTATTTGGTGATTATAATCTCGAAAATAAACAGAGACAAAATGGAAACGGAACTTGAGATGGTACGTGCTTACTTTCAACCCAGTTTGCTTTACAAGTTTATAGCAGAGAGATGTAAGGTGAATTAGGTGATAAATGTTTCGAATCCTTATCATGCCTTGTAGCAACCAGACGTTTTCTAAACAAGAGAAGGGCGGACGTATATGTACGATGGCAAGAATTGGGTTGAGTTTGGGGTGTGTTCGTGTGCGTCGTCAGTTCTTGGCAAAATAGAAGAAAGGTGAGTTTATTTAGTTTCTTTCTTAAATGCTATAAGCAATCCTTTTCAGTAAAAACCTATTTCTGAACAAGTATCCTAGCTGCCTGTGCCTGTTTTTAGCGATAATGGAAAAAAGTTTTCTTTACCCAAACGTTACAACTTTGACTCTAATTAAAACATGTTTTATGAGCACGTGTACACGTGAAATGAAAACGACGGTATTTGCTTTTCGAGTGTGTTAGCTTCTTAATTGCCGATTCTGTTTACTTTGAGAGAGGGCTTCTTAATCGGTATTCATAGCAAATCGCGACTACATGCAGTGAAGACAAATGCGCTTGGCTAATGCGCAGATAAATGATCGTAAAATATGTTTTGTTTTAAAATTCGAAACTTTTTGGCAGAGGCACTTCGTACTTTTAAATTTTTCTTTAGGCAATGTTACTCTACAATCTACATTGTGGACTGCTTTATTTTTAACATATACTGATAGTAATATCGACGTGTTAAATGATCTAAAAACGTTAATAAAAGACGCCTTTTCTGGCGCACACTAAAAAAGGTGTGTTAAATTTGCACACCTTTTTTGTCCAAATTTTAACACACCTAAAAATAGGTTTTCAAACACACCTAAAGGTGTGTTTAACACATCATAATGTGTGCAAATAGCATCTCCAAAGGTGTGTTAACACATAGCAAGGTGTGTCAAAAAAACACACCAAAAGATGTGTTTTCTGCTTGTCCAAATTTTAACACATTCTAAGGTGTGTTTTCAAAGAAGGTGTGTTTTCGTACACACCATGGTGTGTTTCATTACACAGCTAAAGCTGTGCTGGAGAACACACAAATCGTTTAGGGAAAAAGTTGCACACCTTTCCTAAAAATAACATATAAACCGGGCTAGAAAACACAGAAACACAATATTAATTTATGATTATATATTAATTTAATACTTAAAGGCACCCGCCGATAATCTATAAAAGCGGTACGTATATTCAAATTTCGTTTCGAGGTGATATGGGTGAATGTATATTCAAAGTTCTATACATACATTTTTACTATCAACAAAAATGGGTGTGTTGGAACGATTACGAAGAGCAACCTGAAGAACTGCTCTTTTCTACACATTAGAACATAGAAAATAGATTAAATCTATTGATATACAAAAAAATACTTTGAAGTGTTTTGTGTTACGGGATATTAATTAGCCATTATAGAGGTTTTGATCCATTTAAAAAAGGCGATGTTTTCTCACGTTGAAGATTATATAATGTTTGTAACATTATAATCTTCAACCTGTCATAGTGCATAAAATTATAGGTATTTATAAAGAGGCTTGATACAGGATGATAAAGGGTTTACGTTTTTGAAACACGATGTAGCTATATGGTATGGTTATATATCGTTACCTCAGTAAAATTTATCTTTTCACAAGAAAATAACCTTTCCCGAGCCGCCAGAACATTTCTACTTTCAGCCTGAAATTTCAAATTTATAGTGAAATTACAGTAATATATAAAAAGGGAAATGGAGTGAGGAAAAGCTGGGGGGTATATCCTCTTAAAAAATCTGCTGAAAACGTAGGATGACATATAAACCTGTTTGTTTAGAGTTTTACAGGTTTCTATGCACACATGGTAATGGGTGCAATAAACTAGCTTTAAAAAGATGACAACTGCATGGTGCAGTATCTGAAATAGCTTTGACCACCTGCTCACAAAAAATACCTACAAAGAATACTCTAACACAAATCTTTGAACAAAATTGCTTCCTAATATTGTTTACGGAGTATATAAATTGGCATTGGCTTAATAGACCTTCCTCATGACGTCATGCAGATGCAGAAGCCTGATGTTACGCTGATTTTGATTTTGGCCCCACAAAACTAATAAAGAACTCACTTTTATATGAAATTTGAATATACAGACCAGGCAATAACTAAACAAATCCTAACATGAATATTCAAAAATCTTACCAGCTCAAACAAAAGTTTCATTGTTTCCTCTGTAATTATATTTTTTGAGTAATCCAAGAGTATTTCCCCATCAGAGGTATAGCCACTGACAAACTAAAAAAGAAATTTTATAAACACTGCAAAATTATCTTGTGATGAAATGCAATATAATGAAACCAAAAATGTCTTTTCAGCTTGAATTTGAATATTGAGAGGGGTTTACTACAAAATCTAAACTGATTTAAGGGATTATGTAAGCAGGCTCTTAACTATATAAATGTCTAACCTATGGTGTAACATACATCAGAGTGATCAGCAGGGCCGGCCTGCAGTCATTTCATGGGAGGGGGGATATTCATTTCTTTTGAAATTGATTGTTTTTACACTCTGCTAACAATATTTGGGAAAAATATTCTTTTCAAACCTACAACCAATAGCGTTGTTATTAAGGTGTTTTGAATTTAAAATTGAGCTGTGTAATTTATTCTGCACAACCCTATATCTGCCACTGCTTTTTTTGTTTCTCGGCATGTTTGTGAATCGAGTTAACAAGTTAGGCTGGGCACTGGTTATTCAAATCAGCTTCAAACTGGTGGCAAATTATCATCCCAGTTCACATAGAGTTCACTACAGGTGACACATGACTAATGTTTTGTCTGCAGTGAACTCTATGTGAACTGGGATGATAATTAGACATGAGTAAACAGCTTTTGGAATAACCATTATACCCGAATAACCATATTCTATGTTTTGCAATTCTATTTTTGCAATTAACCCATTTAATCAATTATGAATCCAGTTTGATATTTTGCAAAACTCACAGGTGGCAAGATGGGTTTGGGGGTCACAGTCAAACGTTTGATTGGGTTGTTAGCTTTGTGGAACTAATCAAACATGTGATATGTTTGTCATCATTATGAGTAAGACCTATTGTAATTAAATAGCATATACACACCATAAAAAACTATAAGGAATTTTGCTAATGGATTAATTAGGTTTACAGAATATTATTGATAGTCAGATAAAAGATCTATGGGTATATGTGGATCATTAAGACAAACACACTATATATTTTCAAATTTATGGCACAGTTTATAAAGATGGACGTCCACAATTAATTTATTTGGTTTGTTCTGCCATATTGTGATAATTTTCAAATGGTTACTTAATTGTTGTCCATGCACTGACTGTCTGACTCCATTCTCTGTGTATTGCCCTGATGATACTGGACCCAACAATTATTAAAGAGGTCCTCGATTTAGGAATACTAAGATTTAATCAAAGTTATGCCAAAAAACGGGCGATTTTAAAGCGATTGAAAAAAACACTATCCGGTAGATAGAGCTATCCATTGCGCTATCCGGCTTTCATACAACCGGCCCCAGTCTGTTTCGTTCATACAAACCTAAATTTGTCAAAACGTTTCGAATCATCTCCGAACAGCTTTCTCATGTGAATCTTTGAGCAATAGTGTTTTTGCCCAGCTTTAAAAGTTGGATCATCTCTCGATCTCCTTCCACTATCGTCCATGTTTGACAAATGTTTGACATGTTACAGTGCCTTTTTTACGTAACTATATATCTGGGGGGCAATTGCCCCCCCAGAGAATGCATTTGCCCCCCCAGTAACTACATTTCTGCCCCCGTTTACGACACCGTATTGCTCATGATTGCTCTGAGAATTGCTGTTGATTTACTTGCATGATAAAGAGATTATGGCCTTCCATACGGCTTTCTCCACAGCCATTTTGCATGTAATGCATAATATGTTCTTCGACAAATATTTCACAGTAGCGATAGATTTCATAGAATTAATTGAATAGAATGCTAGCTTTCTAAACCTCGTCACAAAGAAAACATTAAATGATACAATGATTATAGCCTGGAACGGTGTCCCTACTGCTTTATATGACCCAAGGCCAGCCGTTGTATCCTTTTTCATGCAGCAAAAAAGACCGACGCAGTGCAAGGCCATGTCTTGAAACATATAAACAAAGAGATTTTGTGGCCAAATTTTTTTCCTAAATGCTGTACAACTATAACTGCAAAGAGTTAAAATTATTGTTTGCATTTAAACATAGGTTTCCTTCTGTCTCACGCGTTCGCCAAACCTCGTCGGCTCATTTTTCGTTTCGCCTTTTTCCTGCATTGCCCCCCCAGTGAAAATTTCTTAAAAAAGGCACTGACATGTTATATAACCGAAGTTATTATTAAGAGGAGATATTTTTCTATGTCGCGTAATATATGCTCAAAAGCTCAGTTATATCTTCATGCAACACTACAATTTTCAGTAATAAAAATGTTTAGCAAACCTAAAAAGCATCCACAAAGTATGTTTACTGTATAATCTCAAAATATTGTGAAAATGAAAAGATTTCTCGGGATACATCATACGCCGAGAAGAAAATGACACTTGAATCGAAGCTTCTTTTGTATTCATTTCAGTTATAACATGGATAGTTAAAAGACTTTATTGTCTTTATTATCCATGGTTATAATGGCCTGGACATTATAACATTGTTGATGGCCGCCGCATTATAATTATTTTGTAATAACTCCTTTGTTTCGTGTTTTCCATTCACCAAATACAGTTCAAAACTTAGTTCACAGCATAATCTAAAGAATAATGGTAAAATAAATTGATTTTGAGTGGTACGCCGAAAAGATTTTAGGTTTTGAGCGTTTTCCCGCCAAAATACGCGACATAATAAAAAATCTCCTTTTAATCAATTCATAGTCACTGATTGAAGGTAATCAAGCATGATCCACTCAAAATGTTTATGACAAAAAATTACCAAAATGACCGAAAAATACCCCAAACTGGGTAGCTGTCAGCTTTACTGTCGTACGACTAGGAATCGAGAATCACCAGTACACAAAACTCTTCTGTAGAAAACAGTAGACCTTTATATTTAAATTTATTTGATTGGTTGATCAATTAAGTCACGGGACAGATTAGGTTGCACTATCGCACGTGGGGGCACTATTGAGAAGTCAGCCAAGCGGACAACATCAGAATTATGTAGGCTTGGGACTTGTGTTATTAAATAAATAGTTTCTAAAAAGCAAAGAGGCTAACGCTTTTTATATGGAGCCCGATATGGGACGCGTCCAAAGATCATAACGAACACGCGGGAGAAAAGAGAAAAAGATACCAATAGTGTGTTAAAGTCGGCAACAGTGTGTCCTTCGTGAGCGGTGAGAGCATATGTGGCATTGTGGAGGTAAATTCTTTCCCGTTGTAAACTTTTTTGGTGTTGCGTTCTATTGAAAAGGGGGTAAACGGTCGTTGCGCAACGTTCTTTTCTTTTAATGTGTAATATATATGATTTTTTTCTTGTGTAATGTGTGTGTGTGACGGTGCGTCTTGTCTGAGTGTATAGTGTTGTGATCTGTGAAGTCGGTGTCTGGATATTTTATATGTTAAGATGACGGAAAAGCTAGCAAGGGCTAAAGGCAGACACATTGGTCTTAGCACGTATTTAAAAACTCTTTTAAGTGAATTAAACGGTTATGTAACTTCGGAAGACGGTGACTGTGAGCAATCTAAACTCCTCGGATTAAGAAACGGGTGTAGATAAAAGGCGGGCGCGGACTGGCGGACGCGGACCGGCGGACGCGGACCGGCGGACGCGGACTGGCGGACGCGGACTGGCGGACCGAAAAAGATTATATTATTAATTATTGTGTTATTAATTAATGATTACATTATCACTTTAGAATATTATATGAGTGAATTCTACTCTACTTCTAAATATTTTACGTGCTCTAGTAACAGGCAAGCTCTAATTTCTTGTGGTATTTGTACAAGAGAGGGTGCAAAATATGATTGTCTTTTCTTTAAGCACCCACTGTTTACGTGGTAGTAAACATTCCCGGGAGTTTCCTTTAACTCCCCGGTTCCATCGTAATAAGCTCTATTCGCATATGACACAATTACTAAATCCCAAGGGGAAGCCCTAATGTTCCCTCCGGGTTTTAGCGATTGCCCACATCCAAAGCATTTCTTCACTTGAAGTGGACAAAATTGCAAAAGATACAATACGTATGTCCCAAAGAATGGGTTGGGAAAACCAAGTGCCATTGGTGCCAGTTGCTGCTGCTGCTGTTGTTCTTGATGTCGCTGTTGTTGAAACTGTTGTTTTTGTTGTTGTTTTTGTTGTTGTTGTAAATGTGAATTTAATTTCCTTGATGCGTACAGCGCCACATCAAAAGATACTGTAAACCGGTATAGTCAATTTTCGTAATTGTAACTTTAAAACATCCCTTTATTAATTTGTTTTACATGACTTTACATGTTATCGTAATATTAGCGTAAACTTTTGGCGCGCGCACTCAAAGACCCCGTGGGTGATTTCTCGATCAAATTGGGACCTTGGGATTTAGTGATTATGCCTTATGCGAATAGACCCTATTATGATGGAACCTGAGAGTTAAATGAAACTCCCGGGAATGCTTAAAGAAAAGACAACCATATTTTGCACCCTCTCTTGTACAAGTACCACAAGAAATTAGAGCTTGCCTGTTACCAGAGCACGTAAAATATTAAGAAAATAGTGGATTGAATAATTAGCAAAAAGTATAATAATACTCATAAGTGATAATGTAATCATTAATTAATAACACAATAATTAATAATATAATCTTTTTCGGTCCGCCAGTCAGCGTCCGCCAGTCCGCGCCCGCTGGTCCGCGTCCGCCGGTCTGCGTCCGCCAGTCCGCGTCCGCCGGTCCGCGTCCGCCAGTCCGCGCCCGCCTTGTATGTATGTAATGTATGTAAAACTTTATTTAAAGACACTAGCCCCGACAACAATAAGTTGATTTCCACGGGGGGTGTCTACAAGATTAAAAATTACAAAAATGTAGGAAAATATATAATGACTATGTACAAGTTAGTGTGACCCCGGATATTATAGTTAGGATATATTGGTTACGTTGGAGTTACGTTTCAGCTGGCTTTTGAATGCATGAATGGACTCAGTCAGTCTGGTGTTGATAGGGAGACTATTCCATAACTTAGCTCCACTATATTTAAAGCTCTTTTTTAAAAATTCTCTTTTTGGCTTAGGAAGAGCCAGATCTGTATGACTATTTCTAAGTTCATAGTTAGTTTGCATTTGATTGCGTCTAATCAAGGTTTCTTTCAACGTGGGGCCTACGTAGTTGTTCAAGACTTTGTACATTAGTATTGATTTACTAGTACGTCGTCTTGTCTCTAAGTTGTCCCAATCAAGAGATCGAAGAACATCAGCAGATCTAGTGTCGTAACTCGCACCGGTTATGATTCGGGCTGCACGGTTTTGAAATTTTTGGAGTTTATCTCTTAAGTTTTGATCACAGACACCCCAAATAGGAGAACAATAATCAAAGTACGGCTGAATCAGAGCCCGATAAATTGTTTGGAGAGAGGTTTTTGGTGCGATTGGTTTAATACGTCTCAATGTGCCCAAACCTGCACCAACTTTTTTGCAAATCGCCTGAATATGTGGACTCCAGGTAAGATTTTCGTCTAGTTCGAGCCCCAAACATGTAAATGAGTGAACTTTGGAGATCCGTTGGTTATTCAATGTCAGTGAAATATCAGAGGTAATTGACCTAATACGATGTTTGGAGCCGACAAACATTATTTTAGTCTTAGTTGGATGGTGTTGTAGTTTATTTCTAGAAAGCCATTCGCCAATTCTATTCAAATCATGATTAAGGTTTTCGGTTAATTCAGACCAACTGTTAGAACTGCAACAAATTTGGGTATCATCGGCATATAGATGAGGAGGAGTTTTTTGAAGGCAATCGGGTAAATCATTAATGTAAAGTAAAAATAACAGGGGACCTAAGATAGATCCCTGCGGCACCCCAGAAACAGTCCTTTTTGACGATGACATTATATTATTGACAATGCAGACTTGTTCCCTAGCAGTTAAGTAAGAATCAAACCATCTCAACTCAGTGCCCGATATTCCAAATTGGTCTTTTAATTTATGAAGTAAAATATTATGATCAAGTGAATCAAAGGCTTTACGAATATCTAGAAAAACGATGCCACTCAGTAGACCATTGTCCATATTTTCGTAGAGAGCATCGCACATCTGAGTCAGGGCAGTAAGAGTTGAGTGTTTAGGCCGGAAACCATGTTGATATGGTTGAGAGGAGCGAATTGTCATTAAGAAATTTGTAGATTTGATTAAAAACACATCTCTCAAGTATTTTACTGACGATAGGTAGGATTGATATAGGGCGATAGTTTTCGCGCTTTAACCTATCATCAGATTTGTAAATAGGAGTAACCCAGGCTTTTTTCCACTCATCAACATATTGACCTTTTTCAATAGAAAGATTAAATATCCTGGTTAATGACGGGCCAACAATATCCGCAGAAATTTTTAAAGCTTTGGCAGGGATGTTGTCTAATCCTGTGGATTTTGAGATTTTGAGACTTCGCAATTGATGTATTACTTCCTCCTCATTAATTTCAGAAAAATTGAAAGGAAGATGTGAGTCAAAAGTAGGGTTAGGCCTAAGGTCTTCACGACCGTGAGAATTTGTGTTTGGGGAATTGTCTTCGGGTTTATCTGCACGTTTTACCCCGATATTGACAAAAAAATCATTAAACGCCTCAGATTTCAATTTGTCGTCTGAGATGACAGAATTGTCTATTTTAAGTTGGGATATAGTGTTTGATTTGATATTTTTACCGATCAGG